AAGCTGCCTTGGTTGAGGTTGGCCTGGTTGAGGTTGGCCTGGTTGAAGCTGCCCTGGTTAAGGTTGGCCTGATGGAAGTTGGCCTGGTTGAAGGTTTTCTGCTGGTTGTTGTTTGTCTGCTGGATGTAGGAGCAGATCTTAGCTCTTCAGAGGGCCGGTTGAAGCACTGAGACTTGTTTGTTCTCCTCAGTGGAAGCGATGCAGCCTCCATCCAGACGAGGGCAACTCTGTCTGAAGATGGCCAACATTACCTGATCACCGGCTCCAAGGTAACCTCTTCCATCCAGTAAACTAACCCCCTACCCTCCCCAGCATGTCCTCATGCCCCAGTCCTGCTGGGTTTTCAGATCTGGATCTCAAACGGCGGCTTTGCAGACATCATGACGGTGTTTGCTCGGACCGAAGTGGAAGTTGACGGTGTGAGGAAGGACAGAATCAGTGCTTTCATCGTGGAGAAGAGCTTTGGAGGCATTACTAGCGGCAAACCTGAGGACAAGCTGGGCATCAGGGGCTCCTACAGTAAGTGGTTAATGTTCATGTGATTTTTGGAGCTCTGCTCCATGGAGAACATCCATGTGTTGACAGAGATCACCCACAGACCAGGAGCAGCTCTGCTCCTGAGGTTAAATGTTGGACGTGTCTTTCAGCCTGTGAGGTTTCCTTTGATAACGTCCCTGTCCCTGTGGAGAACGTGATTGGAGAAGTGGGGGGCGGTTTCAAGGTGAGCTCAGCTCTGCTTCATGACCACCCGCCTGTGCTCCTTGTTCTGATCAGGTTTTGGCTCTGTTGACAGGTCGCCATGAACATCCTGAACTCGGGGCGTTTCAGCATGGGCAGCTCCTGTGCTGGAATGATTAAGAAGCTGATTGGTAAGAAGGATTCCTGCTGTCTTCTGCAGAGCCGCTCCAGGTTCTCAGAGCTGTGTGTTCTCCACAGAGCTGACCTCAGAGTACGCCGCCACCAGGAAGCAGTTCAACAAAAGCCTGAGTGAGTTTGGGATGATCCAGGTACGGCCCGCTCTCCCCCAGCAGCTCCCGGTCCCTCCATCAGCTGAGCTTTGCTCTCTGACTCCTTCCTGCAGGAGAAATTTGCCCTGATGGCCATCAATGCCTTTGTGATGGAGAGCATGGCCTACCTGACTGCGGGGATGATGGACCGACCTGGACTTCCAGACTGTTCACTAGAAGCTGCCATGGTCAAGGTGGGACAGCCGAGCATAGCTCCTGGTGGAACCAGGAGGAACCTGAAGCCTCATGGTGTCCTGCTGGGTCTGTGCAGGTGTTCAGCTCAGAGGGAGGCTGGATCTGCTGCAGCGAGGCCCTGCAGGTCCTTGGAGGTCTGGGCTACACCAAGAACTACCCCTTTGAGCGCTACGTCAGGGACAGCCGCATCCTGCCCATCTTTGAGGTACGTTGGTGGATGGAGCAGACGGGCAATCTGAGCTGCGACTCAAAACTGCTTCATCCTCCTGAAACTCCGCCTCCTTGGTGGTTGTGCCATTATATACATGCTGCTGCAACATCTCTAGGAACAAAACCATTGAATGGATTCCCTGGTGCTGAATCCAGATGGGCCTTCATGTCCATTTAGATCATCCAGACAGGAAATGTTTGGCTCTAAGATGAGCATCGGGAAACCAGAACCAGGCAGATGGAGCAGAGCCATGAAGGAACAAAACTTTCTGTGTTGGTAGGATGGGAGCATCCCCATGGTGGTGGGAATGGGGGGCTGGTCCCACCCTGGACGTCAGCCATATTGCTGTCATACAGTTCGACCAATCAAATCAAAAGGCGAAGATCATGTGCAGAAAGAGGGGCTCAGAGCCGCTGGTTGAGCATTAAAATGAGATCAGAGATAAAATCAAAGCATCCAGTCATTTTCAGGAATAAACACTGCAAACCATTAAAAGCCATGACTCAGACTGTACATCCACATCTTCACAATGACTGCAGTAAAGTTGGACTGAATCTATTGAAGCATATCTATCTTTTCCATTAAGGTTTTAGTGGACTGTGTGGTAGGTGGACTGATTTTAGCTCAGCTCTGCTAAAGTGTCCAAAATGTACCAAAAGCTATTTTAGCTCATAAAAAGGAATGCGGTCGAATGAAAGTAGGGCAGGCTGATAAATCTAATTAAATCGCTTGATTCATGTTTTTTAAGGTCCAGAAATTTATAAAGTTGAGGACGCTTCTTCTGCTGCATTTTTCACTTGCGCTTTTGCTTCCACCTTCCTCCTTCCACCTGATTGCTGTACTGTTTACTCCCGCCATGGCACTGTTTACTCTCGCCATGGCACTGTTTAATCTCGCCATGGCACCGTTTACTCTCGCCATGGCACTGTTTACTCTCGCCATGGTACGGTTTAATCTCGCCATGGCACCGTTTACTCTCGCCATGGCACTGTTTACTCTCGCCATGGT